CCAGATAGAAAAATGTGTTCATTCTGAACTCATATTGTATTCATGTATCTTCAAGCATGAGGACAAGAATAGACACCGATGCGGGCTCATATGCGCCTCAGAATGTAGACATGTTATGATGTCACAAAAATATCTCATTTAATAATAATAACAACATCATGTCAAGAATTTGCAATATCATTTGTACATCATTTATGTGCATCTGGTGCTCATGTTATGAGATCACGTAATGATTTTTAAAAAAGCATCAAATTGGAGTCATAGTATGATGTCACATTATGATGAAACATGACCATCACGTATTTCTATCTGGGTATTTTTTTTTATTCATATACTATATATTTCTTATTATATAAATATCCCAGACAGCACAATGTCTAAAAGTGGGACATAAAACGTCTTTAAGACGTCTTTAAGTTGTCTTTAAGACAAGTTTATAACTATAAAGTATTGTCTTAAAGATGTCTTAAAGTTGCCTTAAAAACTTATGACTCGATTTTGGACATTTCTACCGTCTGGGATATTATATAAATATTATATATTCTTATGTAATATAATAAATACAAATTTGGTATCAAATTATATAAATATCTTATTTTGTGTTTTTATATTTTCCTTGCAACTCAGATTTTTTTTTCTTGTTACTTTAAAAATTGTTGATTTTTATATTATTGCAAAGTTGTATAACTTTTTTTTAATGTAATAATTTATTTGAAGAAAAAATGAAAGTCTGTTATTGACGATTAAAGAAATATATTTTTTATGTATTTTAATGATAACTGCAATTTATGATCACTGACACACGCATAAAATATCTTTCACATGGTAAAATAGAAATCACAAGTATGTGATAGTTTACGTCATAGCCGTAGTTTGGTCCTGGCGGCGCTGCAGATGTTGACAGACTAGAAATCCACTTTCGTGTGAGCCACCGATTGAGATAGACGTGTTTTGCTTTATCGGGCTGTTGCTGACTCTATCGAATCTTTTTGGTTCTGTAATTTCCTGTGGTATGTTGAGGGAGAGTGTGGTTCCGCGTGCGGCGTGTGTGTGGGCGTGTGGGCTCCGCTTCGGTGTCGTGACTTGTCGCGTTTCCCGGAGTGTGAGCGTGCCGCTAGTGCGCTGCGGTGCGATGGCGGAACGAGGGCTGCCTACGGTGGAGAAAACAGAGACGGAAGTCATCCCGACCTTGAGTGAGCAGCAAGCGGAGAAATCCAAGGATGGCCCTCGGAAGGATGGACCCTTGTGGACGGTGGACACCGTCGTAGGATGTCCGTCAAGCGGATCTCTAGGGACGATCTACGGGGTATCGACTTGACTGGCAAGCGTATGAAGACCGTATCGGTACCTGTGTCGACTGAACGAGAGATCACGTGTGATACACGTGACCGGGCTGAGCCGAGTCTGGCGCTTGATCATGCTGTGGTCGCTTCAGAAGACCTGGAGACTAGGGATGTCAACAATAACAAATTGCAGAATTGTCTGCCCAGTAAATACGTGAGTCTTGTCTCTAATCGATATAAACCTGAGAGTCTCGGGCCTTACACCGTTTTTCTCGAACGAGTAAACAAAGGCGATCACACCTCACGCGATCATGCGAACGAGTCGCCCAATGACAAAATGAGCAGCCTTAGCGTTTTGCGCATCGCGAAATTTTTGCACAAGATCCTGCCTCATGAGATGGAGAATGCGTTTAGCTTTGTTAAAAAAGGCCTTGACAAATTCTCAATAAACTTCCAGGTTTACCATTACGCTAATCAATTTGTGCAGACTGTGTATAGGCGTCGATTTGACCTCCAATCGGAAGAATGTTGGGTGGCCTACATCCCATCATTCAAAATATTTAAGAAGGTCATACTGCGAGGACTTGATGACCCTGAATTGGATCTCAGGTTCGTGCTCAAGCACTTGCGTTCGCTGCCTACTTCCAGCGACAACTGGATTCCGCCTATACGAGTTGACAACATTAAGAAGAGAGTCGCGTCTGAAAAGGGTGAGCCAATAACCCTAGTCAACACCAAACTTTTTACTGCTATTTTTGACTACTCGAATACGCCAACTAGAGCCGTATTTCTTGGCAAAAATATTTATATGATTCCATTCGTAGATAAGGTCCGTCGCTGCATCCTATGCCAGCGATTCGGACATACGCGTAAGCTGTGCAAAACGGGGGTATATCAGTTGGACACGGGGCAATTGGACACAGTCCAATCACAAGTCGCTGTTCCAAGGGACCCTACAAATGTCTCTAATCACACGGTGCTGTGATTGGCTGTGTCCAAATGCACCGTGTCCAAGTGCACCGCTCCCGTGCAAAACTCCGAAGTTGAACCGAGTTTGCGAGTCTTGTGGGAACAAGGGGCACTCCAGAGAGGAGTGCAAGGAGACGATCCCTTCATGTGTTAATTGTACCAGGGAAAAAAAAGGAAGAGACGGCTCATAGAGCCTCTTCACCCTAGTGTCCAGTTTTTCTGGAACAGAAAGAGATCAAGAAGATTATGACGCACCGCAGCGTCGATTACAGGGAAGCTGCTGCCCTCTTCTGTAATAATGGTCCGCTTGATATGGACCTTTTGACAAGACCGCCCCCTCCTACGCTATCTGACTTCGCGAGGCTTGCGATATCCTACGCGGCCGCCGTTAGATCCGGCAAATTCAAGGCTGCCAACGGTCGTCGCACGATCGATGAAGACTGACCTGTCCACCTTGGCCTCCGGCAAGTTGGCGGAATCTGTCCTTGCGGGCAAATCCGATCCGAACAAGCGTCGAAGGTCCGTCTCGCGGATTCCGAAAGCTCGGAATTCCGTTAAACCCGTCTTGTCTATGTCCTTAATTGCAGAATTGACAAAGACAGTGGAAGACGCGGAAAGGGCAGAACGCCGTGCCATCAGCAGAAGGGCTTCGGCCCCTGATATCAGCCCTCCTAAACACGAGGAATCCTCTACTGCTCGAATAGGCGTCTTCTTTCCGGACCCGCTGCCTTCGGCAGAAGGAGAAGAACACCTCGCACTGAAGCTGCAGAAATGCCTAGTATCCAATCTATTTCCTGATAAGCAGGTAACAGATATACCCTCTCAATTGTTACTATCCATTACGGAGTATGCCAGCCTATTATCGTCTTGTATTTACAAA